CCCATGACTCAGTCAGTTTCCAACACTGCCACATTGGAGATCAGATATCCACATGAGTTTCGGAGGGGAGGACACATCCAGACTCCATCAATAACTGAGGAGCAGGGAGTGGGTGTATCATCCTAGCATCATCCACCAGTCTTCCACACAGAGCAACCAAGTATCCAAGATATCTGATCCTAATGTCAATTTCAGATACTCTTTTTCCTGTAAGCCTTTGAAACGTCTCAGAAATTCCACATTTTGGTGTTCACTTGACAGTTCGGCGGACACTAGCATGTACATGCACAGCACTTCTCTCAGTGCTTGTTGATACGTTAGCCATGTAGAGAAGGCGTCAGTGTCGAGGGTCTTACATGGTTAGTCTCTTCAAAAGTGGGGGTGGAGGCTCGGGAGGAGAGCTTTCCAGGTAGAGTGCATGGACACGCAAAGGGTGGGAGCGAGATGCACACAAGATGGCCTGTTCAGGAAACAGGGCAGCTCCGGAGGGCCAGCATTTCAGGGACTGGTAAATTCAGAGAGGACGGACACACAGGCGGGGATTAAGCATGAATGGCCTTGTTTGTCTTACTGAGGAGTTTGATTTCGACCTTGAAGCCGCTAGGGATATCTTGAAAGATGTTTAAACGAGCAAATGACCTGATCAGATCTGGGATTCAGAAAGGTTATACTGCAGCAGCAGAGACAGATGGATTAACCTGGAAGTACAGAAACCAGGCAGAGAGCACTTAGAACAGCCCAGGTGAGATGCAGGGAGGGCCTGCACTGGTGAGGTGGGGCAGGGGCACCTCTGGGAGGGCAGCAATGCACTCAGTGAAATGGGGACCAGAGGAGGAGACGTGCGGTCAGGGCAGCTAAATTCTGGACAGGTTGGTCTGCAGTGTCAATGGGACCTCTGAACAGAGTTGTCTGTTAGGCAGTTGGAGACGTGACAGGAGGTGCAAAGGTCTCTTCATCTGCCACAAAAATGTTAAGGACATTGTCCACTTCTTCATTCAGTATCCTTTATGTCATATCCATCCTACCCAATCAGCCTAAGACCCCCAGGATCAATCTCATCTGATCTGTGAATGTCAGAGTTATGACTGTTGTAACCAGGGGGACCACACACCAGAGGAACTGTGGGCATCTCCCCAAACAAAGGAAAGGAGAGTTGTTATGGGATTTAAAGGAAGGATGGAGTTTAGGTCAAATTTAAATGAAGTGGTGTTTTGAGAGCCGCAGAGCAGAGCTGTGTATAAACAGGTCATCATCAGCTCTGGACTGAGAAGTGGACTCAGTCCTGTTTTCTTTCTACAAAGTTAAATATCGGATGTCATATTCAGAAGTCCCTCATTTGAAGTCCTGCGTCTGGGTTGGAGATCAAAGTGGCTCCTCCATGTACCTTAGATCCTCTAGGCGAAAGTGAGATATGTCATTCTTACTGATATAACTTCAGAGAGCAAATTCCTGATAGTGTATAATTTTAGAGAATAAGATTTCTCATTAAATAAGAAAGCAGTAGACAGTCAAAGAAGGTGTCCACTAGGACACTCAGTGGCTGTAGTTCATCCTTGGGAGAAATGTTTCCTTTGCAGCTCCCTTTATCTGTGGTTGTTAACCCAAGCTTGATACAGGGCAGGGCAGATTTTTGCATTCCCAGTGCAAGCTAATTGTTACTTACAAGCCCCACTGTGAAATATAAAAGAAGTAAATCCTAAGAAAGGATTTTAAGAAAAGAACCAGTGTTTTCCAGTCTGACGATGAAAATGGGTGGTGTTCTGCCTTTGCCTTGTCTGCAAAGCAGTGCAGACACAGACACAGTGACAGTTTTGTGGTTGGCACAAGTGTG